GTGCCAGGTATGGGTTCCATCTCATGGAGAGGGCCTTAATTCCAACCAGGATAGTGGATTACTCCCATAATATTTGTGCCACTATAGCACCAGTATATCTGACAGGCAGGTTGCTGTTGTATGCTATATAGTTTGTAGGTAAGTGATATTAATGATTACCTTTCTCCTCTGGTAGCATACAATGTACTTTCCAGCATAATGAATACTAATTAGCAGAGGTGCAGCTTCTAGTTAGGCACCAACTCAGCTTTTCTCTGCTCAGTGACATACGAAGCATTGTCTTTGATAACAGGACTTCAATACCATCAGATTGTAGAGAGGAACCAATAGCTCTGGTATTGATATGCAATGCTGCAGGGGGTAGGGTATATGCAGAAATTCTTTGACCAATGACTCAACAAAATATAGTCAATTCCTCATCCTGTGAGTTTTACTCTGTGGCATAATATGTCTAGTTGGCATTCTCTCCTCCATTATTATGTAACTCTAGTTAAATTACTTTCATATATTTACATATTTTATGAAACTTCTATAATAGTAGGTTTCCACGTGACTTTTCAAAAGGTCTTTAAAGTTAGTAATTCTCTCCCCAACTGCCCTCCTATACCATTCTCTATTTAATCAGGTAGACACTGTCATGTTGGTCCATCCACCAACTACCCATGCCTATTCTCCATTGTTCTTACTGCTTGATTTTATAATTAGTTTTTTGTTTCTCAAGAAGTCTACTTTTGCTGTATGAATGCAATTTTGATGCAGTATATGATTAATTTGAAAAGAAATGATCTTACAATACTCAGCATTTTCATCAAGGAACAAGATTGTACTCTGATGACTCACCTTTATGTTAAAAAGCCAAGTAATTTATTTACAAAGCACATCATATTTATATGACATTCTATGTTGTTTATTTCTAGAGTATTTTCTATAATGTTAATGAGTCATTAATGGACCTCTGTAGACTTTGTAAGCTGCTTTTTCATTCAGCAACTTACTTCTGCCATGGGATGTTCTGTATGGCAAATGTGTTGCTCTGATTGGGCAATAAATAAAACACTGATTGGTCAGTGGTCAGGCAGGAAGTATAGGCAGGACTAACAGAGAGGAGAAAAGAAAGAACAGGAAGTCAGAAGGAGTCACTGCCAGCCGCCGCCAGGACAAGCAGCATGTGAAGATGCCAGTAAGCCACGAGCCACGTGGCAAGGTATAGATTTATGGAAATGGGTTAATTTAAGCTATAAGAACAGTTAGCAAGAAGCCTGCCATAGCCATACAGTTTGTAAGCAATATAAGTCTCTGTGTTTACTTGGTTGGGTCTGAGCAGCTGTGGGACTGGTGGGTGACAAAGATTTGTGCTGACTGTGGGCAAGGCAGGAAAACTCTAGCTACATACTTCTCATGTTAGTTCAGTGATTCCTTAGCTGATTCTTTCAGATTGTTCTGTTGAGTGGCATTTTACCAGGTATTCATATCCCCAAGCTTACTTCAGTGGATCTGAATATTCAGAATCTGTGAAATATTATAAATGATGAAAGAATAAGTGGGAGTTTGTCCTTGTTTTTGATTCAAATATTTTGCATTAAGTATAAAGAATATTGTAACTTTTAAAAGAATTACTGACTGAGGAAGTCTTTTTCCAAAATAAAGAGGGAAATAATGCATTATTTACTAAGAAAGAAGGGTTAGGTTTATGCTGCTAATATATTAAAAATACTTATGTACAAATCTTAAACCAGTGGAAATTGTCATATTGATGGAACTTAAATAAGTTAGAGAAAACAGAGGAAAAATAAAATTGTTTATACCTCAACACAATGGGTAATCTTCCAGTGTAAATTAATAATCTTGGGGAGCTGAAGAGATGGTTCAGGGGTTAGGGGAGTTTACCACTCTCACAGAAGAGCCAACTTTAGTTCCCAGGACTCACATTGGGTGTCAAACAATGTCCCATAATTCTAGCTCCAGAAGAATGACACCCTCTTCTGGTCTCTGAGGGCACTAAACTTACATACAGAAAGCCACATGCATACATGCACATGAAGTTTTTTTATTTAAAAATTATGGACAGATAGAAGTAAATTTCAACAATACCTAAGGATTCATGTCATCATGAACTTTTGATGTGAGCTTTGTGTTGGTCTTTGTGTTTTGAGTATTTCAATAGCATGCTATGCTGTATAGAATAACAAAAAAATATATGTTGATTCAATGAAAGGAAAACATCCTAGGTTGACTTCAGGCTCTATATTGGAGAGAAATTACCTCAAAGAAGGCATTGTAGAGGATCAAATATCAGGGAAAAAATTTGATTGGGGAACTGTTGAATTTGATGTTGCTATAGAACATTGAAGAAGAAATAATATAACTGAATTTGGAGCCAAAAAGAACAGAACCTACTCAGAGTTCTGGGCAGCTGTGGCATTGCAGAGTGCATAATGCAAGTCATCTACAGTAATAATATGAAGGGGACAGGGCAAGCACTACCCTGGTGATGGTCTCAGAGTGAACAACCATTTGCAGACCAAAGGGAAAGGAAAGACAGTAGTCACAGTGTGGGAAGTTTCAGAAACAAAGGAGAGGAAAGTGATGAGAAACAGGGTTCTTTGAGACATATGTGGTGCTGTTGAACTACAGAATTGTTTGAGAGGAGATTAATTTTGTCTTTTGTGTGAGAAGTTTCAGAAAACTATGAAGATGAAAGTCAGAGTAGTCTACCGATGTTCTAGTGTAAAAAAAGAAATAGATGGGTACTTTGTGGCCATGTGCATGTATAATTAGGTATGTATGTATGCATATAGATGAATAGAATGGTGAACAGATACTGTATTCTGAAAAACCCCATAAAAATAAAGTGCATATGAGCTATGTCTCTGTGTGTAAGAACTTCCAAGAGAATTCTCTCTGTGGAAGTTTCTTAAGACAAGAGTGGTCCTGGGTCCATGGTTCCAAAGTGTGACTATACGAATTTGTGAGGAAAAGCATCTCAGTCTGTAAAATGAGGCTAAAAATCACTGGACTCTATGGCACACAACAAAGGTACCTGAAATAATGTGTCAGTTGGGATTCTTTGGGATCTTCTACATTGCTGTCAGCACAGACAGTAACAGAGATAGGGTCAGGTACACACAGTGTGGAAACAACTCCATGGAGGGGCCTGCCAGACAAGGACAAAAGCCAGTGAAAAGGATTATCATCTACCTCTCCTCAAGTGGGGTCACAGCTCCACCCATCACAGCCAGCTAGTATTTTGGTCCAGCCCAGCTGCCAGAGAACAGCGCCAGTGCTGGCCCCACAGGTTTTGGTTTGAGTCTCAGTCACTGGGGTATGTTTTTGGTGGAGGAACCAAGCTCACCGTTCTAGGTAAGTGGCTTTAATGCTTCTTCCCATTCAGCTCAACCCTTGTTGTCATGGAAAGGTTTGTTTTTTCCCTCTGGGAACCTTTACTCAACTGCTCTCCCCAGACTTAAGGAGCTCTATCGGGCTGTGCAATAGTGACCTGGAAGGCAAATTGTGTACCTATCACCCAGGGTGTGCAGACTACAAATCCCTCCAAGCATAACAACAAGTACATGGCCAACAGCTTCCTCACTTTGACAGCAGACCAGTGGAGATCTCACGACCGTATGTCCTGCCAAGTTACACATGAAGAGAACATTGTAGAAAAGAGTGTGTCCCCTGCAGACTGTCTCTAGGAGCCCAGCCTTTCCTTAGCCTAGGGGATGGAGAATGGGGTCTCTTCTCTGTACTAGCAATCTCAACCTTTCTCTTTTACCCACTGAATATTCGATAAAATATCATTGATCAAAAGTATTGCCTTGTCCCATTTGTACTTTTTACATGTTTAATTTTGCATCCTTTGAATCTACAATGTGGGGAGGTGGGATTCAGGTTCCCAGTGAGAAATTAGTTTTCCTTTGAAACATGCAGAGGGTATCACCCTAAGAATGACAATTCTCTTCCTCTGCACTGTTCTCTGAGCCCTGTGATGCAGAAACACTCACTTAGAATGCAGCTGAAGCAAGATATCATGTTTCAGGCTAAACAACTAACTTAATATTACATAGTAAGTCCGGAAATGTGTGGCATCTTGCAATGAACTTAGACAATTCTATTATATAATTCAAAACATTGGTTCTCATGGTCCTCTATACTAGAGCATGAGATGGGATAACCACTCAAGCATAATAACTAGATCTAATGAGAAATGGATCTCCATTCCTGAAGAGTTTCCCAATAATTGATGCATAGGAACTAGTCTCAGTCACATTCCAGACTACTCAAGGTCAGGTCGGGTGAGACTTCAAGGAAGACTGAGTGTGACCTGAGAGGTTAACTCAAGCCTGTTGCTTGGGTAGACTTAGGTGTAGCAGGCACCCACTTCAATGCCCCAAGTCCTCTTATGTACATCAGCACACCAGTGTGCACTTCAGATTGGCATCAATCATGATCTTTGTAATTCACAAACTTCAGTGGCCCAGCCTCTGTAGAAGTCAGTAAGGATTTAGTGTTCACGGCTTGGAGACATCATCCTCGGTAGCTCATAAGCAGTATGGACACTGACTACATCCAGAAACTTGGTGGATTAGACAGTGCAGTAGCATAGTCTGCAAAGCCAGAAATATTCTTCATCAATGAGGCAGAGTGACAGTTGACAACACTGAGCTTGATCTCAGGCCCCAAGTCCCCAGTTTCTGAACTAGGAAGAACCTTTGGGATTTGTTATTCATGGCAGCTTTCTGATTCTAGGCCATGATAAATCTGTGCCCAATAATTGGAAGTGAAGACCCTGGGTATCCTCACAGCAATGTTCCTTGCTGGGGATAAAGCAAACCCTCATCCGTACCCAGATATTGCTCAGAAACTCACTTCCTCGTCCTTTTATTTCAAGTTTTGACTGACAAATTTGGACACAAAACTTAGGAAGCACAGAAATAGTAATGTTCTCATATTCCCACCAATCAACCTCTAACACTCATTTCAACTCGATTTTGATTCAACTATAACATTAAATTCCTCCCTTATATTGTGTTACAAAAGCACATTCCAGAACTTGTATCTTATCTGCTATGATTATATACACTTTTGGGTTTAGAAAAAGAATTCCTAGACAGCATATCAAACTCCAAAAGAAGTTATTGATTATTTCTTGATATCAGGTAATAGTCAAGTTGTTATTAAATGACTGCATGACACGATCCTATAGTTTTTAGTATTGTATTAGTGGTAAAGATTCTACCACATGTAGGAAGATGAGATATGGATTGAAACTGATGATTGTGTGGGTTCTCCACCTGCTGCCTTCTGCATGGCCTCAGAGCTCTATTTTTGTTCTTCACCAGACAGGAGCTACAGAGACTGAGTTAGTGGCCCCAAGACTTTGCATAGACTCCACGCAGTTAGTAGCTTCCTTGAACTGTTACCAAGGGCTCCTCTCTGTTCTTTTTTATCCTGTAAAGAGCTTTTTCTAAAGAGTGTGTGGAAATTTTATGAATGACTTTCTGGCAAGGCTGGCTCAGAGGACATTTGGGATCCTGTGAAGTCTGATCTTTCAGAGAGGTCACCGTGTATCTCAGAATCATCAGAGACTGCATATGTCACAGCTGAAACTGGAGGGTAAGGTGCATGTAGGGTTTTTGCATGAGCCTATATCACAGTGCTGGGTATTCGGCAAAGGCACCATATTGACTGTCATAGGTAAGTGACACTTTCCTCTTCTGTTACTACAATCTCTAAGGTTTGAGATATTTTTTTTTGTTCAATTATTTCTCTATTGTACTTCATGCTTAAACTTCATTCTAGGTAAATAATCTCTTGCTTCTCTATGTTCTGCAGCTCACCTCAGATGGTTCCCTGTCACCTTTCATGTCTAATCTCAAAGACGGGGGCAAAAAAAGATAACCTGTAAATATGTGTCTGTCATTCTGTTGAGATATGCAGTGCTCTGATAAGTACTCCACTGTGTCACTCTCTATGAGTGTCTATCTTTCTAGTGAATTTTGTGAGGGCTAAAGTGAGTTACTATGTCATGGGGAAGGAAGGCCAGAGGCACAGAGGGATAGGCAGCTGGTTAGTTAGGAGAACATAGAACACTCAGCACTGAGGCTGGTGAATAACATGTCAGAGGTTAGGTAAGCTGGAGAGTGGAACTTGGGATTCACTTCCTAGGACAGGCAGAAGAAAGGATCCCCAAGCTCCCATGGAAAGCCATGAATAGAGCAGTAACCAAGCCAGAACTCAGGAATTTTAGTAAGGAGAAGAAAGGTAAGGTGGCTCTGGACACAGGAAGTCAAGAGAGAGAGACTGAAGCTGCAGTTGGGAAGCTGGGTTCCTGGGTCTCTCTAAGACACTGGTTAGGAAACAGAGCAACTATGTTCACATAGCTCTGGTCCTGATGCATGAAAATTACACAACTCATCCAGAGAAGCGGATCTCACCTCAGTCTGCAGAATGAAAAACAGTTCACCCAGATCCATGCTACACTGAGCAGAGGCCAGGGACCTACAAGGCACAGATTTGGGTGAAAACAAACTCCTATGTTTAAAGTTTAGACTCAGGACAGGTTTTACCTCAGAACTGTCTTCAGAGTGGGACAGACAGAATGCAGACATATGTAAAAAACAGAGAGAAGTTTACTAGGGCAGGAAAGTGAAGGTCAGGTATCTTTGTTGAAGGTCAAAGTGCAGGGAGCTATCAAGTGAACTACTGCACAAATATGGGGTGCATAATTTCTAAGAACATAGGGAGTATATAGAAGAGATGTATACCTCATCTTCTGTACTCTGTGTGTTCAAACACGGTCACTAAACTCAGGACACTTAACACACTACCTCCAGGATTCTTGTTGGGAGACTAAGATTCTGAGCTTCTCTTTCTCTATCCTGCAGGTCTGCCCAAGGCTACACCTTCAGTCACCCTGTTTCCACCACCCTTTGAGGAGCTCAGGGAGCTAAAACAGGCCACACTGTTGTGTCTGATAACTGACTTTTACCCAGGTGTTGTGACAGTGGCCTGGGAGGCAGATGGTACACCTATTACCCAGGGTGTAGTGACCAGTGTACCAGAGAGACAATACAGTTACAAGTACAGGGCTAGCAGCTACCTGACCTTGAGAGAAGAAGAACTGAAATCTATAAGCAGTGTCAGCTGCCTGGTCACCCATGAAGGGATCACTGTGGAAAAGAGTTTGTCTCTTAGAGTGTTTTTCTAGGCCTTTCAAAGTTCATCTTACTCACAGAGGCTTGGATTCGAATCATGCACAAGTATACATTACTGCTCTTACCTGCCATAGCTCTTCTCCTCGCTCCTGAAATGCACAATAAAATGTCCATTCGCAACTTGTAATTCTACTCTAACTCATTTGTTTTAGTGTATATTTCCCTGAGATTCAGAGTAGAGTGGGGATGTCCTGGTAGTCTGTACTCTCACGCAGGGTTATAACCTGCATCATCAGTAAAATCAGGCTGAAGATAGAGTGTATGTTGGGTTCATGAAGGCTGTAGTACGGTTGCAGTCAGCCTTGATGTGAATATGAACTAAGGCAAACAAGATATGATTTCCAGCCCAAATATTAACTAAGGCATTCAGTGTTGAATGTGAGAAACTATGAGGTTTCCACTTCACATTTTGATTCTGGGGATTGTGGTACAACATCAGGGCTGATGGTTCTAGGCATTACTAAATATCTGGGTACCCTACAGAGAAGAAGATGTCTCTAGAATCTCCATCCCACCAGATCTCATTCTTTCCCTAGCTCAAAGCATAATAGTTCAGGGTGCACCTGTATCCTGAAATTATCACAGGCCCCTACTAGGGGACGAGGTCAAACCCCTAGCAATGCAGACCTTGTTCAATACCATTGTTCTATAGTCCTCAGGACTTAGGGACACATGACCATGGTCTGTAATAAGTTTATTCTTGAGGAATCAGCCTGGAGACATGCCCTAAAAGATTAGGGAGTATTCAAAACAGTGAGTAAGGCAAAGCTACATCCTCCTAGCCACACCAATTCAAACCTTAGTTTCTGCATTACAAGGACATTAAGGGGATTATGTTGTACAGCAACTGACTTTAGTTCATGGTGGTGATTCATAGTTGAAGTTGTGTCCTTGGCCATATTGGATTCAATGAAAGTTCCACCCTCACTCCCCAGCTACTTCCTAGAGGTACACATTTTCATCACTTTGTAGTAACATTTTTGTTGTTATTGCTGTTATTTTTTTTTGAGAGAGAGGGTCTCTCTATACAGCCTTGGCTTCCCTGGAACTCAGTCCATACACCTTGCTTGATTCCAGCTCACAGAGTTCTACCTGCCTCTGCCCCCAAAGTGCTGGATCACAGCTGAGCACCACCATGCTCTGCTTGTTGTAGTTTAATTTCTGAGAACACTGAACTAACGATTCAGGAGCAAAGGTAGAGATAGTAAAGTTCTATTCCCATCAACTAGTGGTTACATAATTTTTGCAGTGTTGGTTAATGAACTCAGGTTCATGCTAGGCATATTTTCTACGCTGAACTACCTCCCCAAACTCTTTTTCTAATGATGGTTACTTTTTATTTTTTACTGCTGCATAGTCATTGTTCATGGTGACAGGTTTCACAAAAATATTTTCATTCAAGTTCACCATTTGCTTTGACCATATACACCACCCTGTGCCTCATCTTTTCCCTAATTCCTGAACACAACATACTTTTGTTCTCCTTCGCTGAATAATGCTTCATTTTGTATGCAAAACACTTTTACTTTACCTTCTTATCTATGTCTGGGCTAATCCTACACTCTGGCCATTGTGATTACTCTTGCATAAACAAGAATGTGCATCCTCTCAGTAGTCCTCTGTCTGTGTGCATAAGAGGCCCTAAAGACCCCACATGAAAAGTGTTGGAACTATAAGCACCATATACTAGGCACGAAATCATCATACAAAAATCACTAGCCTTCCTGTTCACCATTAATTCTCAGGCTTAACAAGGAATCAGGGAAACAATTCTATTCCTAATAGCTTCCATGTAGTAAAATAATTCCTAGAAGTAAACCTAATAAGTGCAACAACAAAAACAAAAACACTATTCACATGTGGTCCTCATCAACCTTGGTCTCCCATTCCTTGTTCTCCCTCTCTCTTCTTGATCCAGCTGGGATCTCCTGCTCTCCCAAATTCTCCCTCCCTCGACCCTTGCCCTTCACCACCCCCACTCATGTCCAGGCTGTCCATGCAGATCTCATCCATTTCTCCATCATTGTGTGATCCTTATGTCCCTCCTGGCATCCTTCTTTCCAGGCAGCCTCCCTGGTGTTGTGAGCAGCAATCTAGTCATCCCTGTTCCACATCTAGTATCCTCCTATGAGTGAGTACATAGCATGTTTGTCTTTCTGAGTCTGGGTTACCTCACTCAGAGTGCTGGAGAGGCCCACAGAGATCCACGGAGATGCTCCCACATTAGACAGCTGGCAATGGTCGAGAGACAGCCCGTCCTGACCTACTCTTGTGATAGGATGGCCAAACACCCTAATTGTCCTGCTAGAAACCCCATCTAATGACTGAGGGAACCAGATTCAGAGAACCACAGCGGGGCCCTGGGTGGAGCTCCGGGAGTCCAATTGGCGCGAAAGAGTAGGGTTTATATGAGCGAGAATTGTTGAGATCAGGGTTGGATAAAGCACAGGGACAGGTAGCCAAACTAATGGAAACACATGAACTATGAACCGGTGGCTGGGGGGTCCCCAGCTGGATCAGGCCTTCTGAATTGGTGGAACAGTTGATTGGCTTGGTCTGTTTGAGGGGCATCCAAGCAGTGGGACCAGGTCCTGTGCTCAGTGCATGAGTTGGCTGTTTGAAGCCTGGGGCTTATGCAGGGACGCTTGGCTCAGCCTGGGAGGGGGGACTGGACCTGCCTGGACTGAGTCTACCGGGTTGGTCTCAATCCTCAGGGGAGTCTTTGCCCTGGAAGGGATGTGAATGGGGGGTGAGCTGGGGGATACAGAGCGGGGCGGGAGGTGGGAGAAGGGAGAATCTGTGGTTGATGTGTGGAATTAAATTATATTGTAAAGTGAAGTAATATAAAATTTAAAAAATAGAGTCCATAAAAAATAAAAAAATCATTTTAAATGTACAATAGAATAGTCTTTTCCAAATAATAATAATAATAATAATAATAATAATAATAATAATAAAATCTATAGGTGTAGTAAGAGAAAAAAACTAAAACACTGAAAAAAACCTTTCATTTCTTTATGAGATAGATTTTTGCTTTGTAGCCTAGTCTGACCTTGAACTTCTTCATTCAAGCTCCTTGGTGCAAGAACAACAGCTGGTATTACCATATTTTCAACTCTTTTTAAAATAAAACTGTGAAAGAGTAACTCCTTGCTAAAGGATATTGATATTTACTTTTAATCTATTTTTAATTGACAGTTTGTATGTACTGTCATCTTACAAATTTTCTCTCTGTCTGCTCTCCAAACTACTCCAAATGACCTCATTCTTTCTAACTAAGCCCCTTCCTGGCTGCATGCCAGTCCTTTCCATATATATGTGTGTATATTTTTTATTTTTCTTTATTTCTATTAAGAAATTTTTATTTATTTTACATATCAACCACAGATCTTGCTCTTATCCCTACTCCTGCTGCCCTCCATAATCTCACCCCCATCCCACTCCCCATCCCTTCCTCCAAAAAGGTAAGGTCTCCCATGGGGAGTCAGCAAACCTTGTCAATTTATTTGAGGCAGGCACAAGACCCTCTCTCTGCTGGATCAAGGCTGTCTATGTCTGGTTCATAAGCTGGCTTTGTGGAACCTGTTACCTATGGTGGGACACCTTGCACAGCTTTTTTAGTTTTTTCAAGTCTCCTCCAGGCAGTTCCAGCAGCTGTGATTTCATGATTTCAATGGCCATGTGATATTCATAAAACAGGGCTCCATCACACCCTCTCTATTCTTAAACTCCCACAGTTCTTCTACCTCCATTCCCACAGTGCTCCTTGAATTTCAGAGCAGGGCACTAAGATGAATTGTTTGGGTGCCAAGCAGTCCGAAGTCACTCATTCTCAGCAGTTTATCCAGTAATAAGTCCTGGCATTGACCATCATGAACTGGGGCAAATAAGGCTCTTCTGACCAAGATTGAGAGTGGTACTGGTCTATAGGGAAAGCTTAACATGTCTCCTTGGCAGAACATCCATAGTATGAGGGGAAGGGTGATTGGAGAACATGGTATGGAGATGTGGGCTTCTGAGTCTCTTAGTTCTGTGCAAACAGGAAGAGATTCTCATTCTAGAGATGGACAGATGATAATGGTCCTGATATTCCTCCTTTCTAGGCCCAGTCTCTTCATTTTACCTCCTCTCCTCTCCTCTCCTCTCCTCTCCTCTCCTCTCCTCTCC